ACCCTAGAATAAGTTCAAATCTCAGTGGATACAAGGTAGGTTAGAGGGTCAGATTAAAAATTAGAAAAAACGTTTGTTAGTTAAAGTCACTTTTTGCAAATTTAAACGCTGTGGCAAGCGCAGCAAGTGATATGAAATGCCGTAACAACGTCACTTTGTCATGATGTCATTTTGTTGTTGTTACGCATTGCCTAATTTATCATGGCAACAAAAATGACAAAGTAAGAAAAAATTAAAAGGCCTGCCTTGGCCTCATCGTCCATGTAATCTACTGGTATGAGCATCGAAATGCCAGCGGCCTCAGCGATCTAGAACAATGCGTAGATGAAAATACCTAGATTATGCGGTAAAAAAGTAAGTAAACGACTTGTTCTAGGTCGTATGCGCCTGGTGTGCTAAGCATCTTGTAGATTTTATCCGGGAATTCGCGGTTGAGCTCGTAGCGGCTGAGAAATTGGATGTTGAAGAGTGAAAGTTCGACTCAATGGCTCAATTTACCAAAGATCTTTTGGAAGCGATGCCCATTTCCCACGCGGTTCGCCGTTCTCGCAAAGTATGCCGGCAGTTGGACTCTTCAGCGAAAACTTTAGAAGGGCTGACTTCTTCAGATCAAATGGGGCTTTTACAATTACTTTTCCTGAACAATTTTACTCAATTCCACCAGTAATTGCAGGTATATTTGAAAGCAAAAAAATAGTGGATTTTAAAGTTAAGAATAGTTTTTTCTAATGGCTCAATAGGTTGTTATAATCTGTGTGCTCTCAACTGGCACATGGGAGCACAGCAACACACCACAAGCAGCTGCGGCTGTTATGTGATGTCACATGTGAATTGATCGTTTGATGCGAGCAGTAAATGTTAGCGCGTGCGCAAACATGATCCCACATGTTTATATTCTACTTTGAAGGAGGAAACTTTCTAAAAACAGTCTTAACTAAAATCTCGCCTACCCTTTGCAAGCTTGATCATTCCTGGAAGAGAGATCATTGCTCGACCTTCACGACAACTCGGATAGCCTTCGACGTCGTATGTCTGCAGTGTGAGTCCGCTGGTACGGATTGCAAGAGCTTCTGAATAACAGATCAAATTATCAAAAGCACTTTGTGTTGCGTTAAAAGCAAGTACCTTTAGTGTCAGCCAATTCGATAACATTGTTTACGCCATCTACACATGGAGCTTTATCACCGCTTGGTTTTTCTGGTCTTAGTATGTCCAATTCTTCCTTACTTACTGGTTCAAGTACTATGGGCTTGAATTTTTTGGACCGTTTTATTTCCATATTCTTAGGCACAATCGGTGGAACAGCAAAAGCAAACGCAATCAAAGCCAAGAAGAGAATGACTCGGGGCATCCTTAAAGGAAAACAAATGAATATAACATAGGATATGGGATATAACTTATTATCAGGTTGTTCCAA